ACAAGGCTGGTCACTTCTTGAACGCACTTTCTGACGGCGAACTAACGATCAGAAATGCCCGAAACTCTAACATCACCACGCGTGCAGAGGCGAATCACCTAGGCAAAAAAGTCAGCGACGGAAATTTCGCCGGGCCCTAACGCTCTCACAACTAAACAGGTGAACCTGGCACATAGCAACACAGGGGAAAGATGGAGAGGGGGTACAGTCACGTCTGAAGAGGTAGACAGACGGGGGAACAACAGCAGTTGCGGCAAGACTGGCTGAATCAGACGTACGATCTACCTTGCACCTCAAGCTATTTACTCCGCTAACTTTCTTCAGCTGTCAGTTGGGTGACTATAACAGGCCACCGATGAATGTGAAAGAAAAGAGCGATGCCGATACCAAGGTAGTCTTTTTCCTGGCAATTTGATGTACTTCTCAAAAATAATATAACTGAAACGCCCTAGATTGTTAGGAAACGCAAAATCCGTTTCTTTGGGGGGCTGAAACCTGAGTCTTTTTCTCGGTTTTCCTGTAGAACGACTACCATAACGGCATTCTGCCCATACGATATTCAATGTTGTGTCTGGCACGGATAAACGAGTTCTACAGGTTTATCAGCTACTGCGCCCACGTTTTTGTCTAGTCATTCCGGAGGGTAACGTAAACTGGACGCAGTACTAGAAAAAAAATGCACATGCAAGTCATCAGCGCGTTCCCGAAAGGGTAGTCAACTTCGTCGAATGCAAAGGTCGAGCTATAGTCTGTTTTAACAAAAAAAAAGAATGAATAAGTCAAAAGTTGACGGTGACCGAATTCGTCAACTATAAACGATTGTCTTGTGAATTTTTACACAGTTGAGAACAAATACAGTCGAACCCCAGCAAAAAACTGCAATCAAATATTGTAGGGTATCCACGTACCAAGGCGTCATACATCATCAAATCCATTGACGATAAAAAAAATATTCACGTGCATCAGCATACACGCAGGTAATATTTAAACGTCAACGGTCATGTATACATAAGTTGCCTGTCCAGTTGTCAATGAATATTAGTCAAAGAAGAATTGTCCTGACCTAACTATTTATGCAGGTCCGAGGTCATCTGTTATTGACCGATGCAACAGAAATGGGACGATCAAGCACCCTGAAGAAAACTGATCCCATTCCTTTTAAGCTGGCTTATGAATAACAGTATGAGAAAGCGAATGCAGGCACACAGTTAGGCAATGAAGGCACGGCATCAGCTAGTGTTAGGGGTATCGTATACAGCTAAGTACAAGCAGCTTGTTAAAAAAACCTCGTTACCATAATTTCTTACCAAGTAAAATCTACGTGCGTCTGAAAGCCAGCCAGAATTGCCGCGCCATCTTCACTAAGACACATACAGATAGGGCGTAATGGAAAAATTCAATTTATGATGCTTGTTTGCCATTGGAAAGAATTCGGTTAATGCTCAGACCTCGTGATTTTATGTTTACGGCGCAGTTAGGTCAGGAATGGCAAAAAACCCATGGTCATTGGAAAACAGGAATTCTGCATTCGGTAATTTATCTTAGCTCTTGGACTCGCTCATACAAATGACAACTGCCTGACATCATAGCCGTCGCTCATGGATAGAGGGTGCATAAAATAGAGCCAACTCTACGAAGGTTGAAAACTTATAACAAAAAACAACTAAGTCCCTCTTTGCTCTCGTGATCATCCCAGCACGGGCCAGTGACCTTAAGATGAAACTGCGTTATGCACTTTCGATTTTTAGACAAGACGATTTCAATGAAACTAGGTCTCCTCATTTAAAGAAAATCAATGGACAAAAAGCCTCTGGTCTGCATATGCATTTTTTAAATAAAGGAACGGGTATTGATCAAACTAAAAAAAGAACTTACATATGCAGAACCACCCTCTCGTGCACATACGACTGTATGGAAACACTACTTTTAAATGTAGCACCTACTTTTTTGCCGGCAGAATAAGAGCCTCCTCATGCTACCGCAAACGTACAGGAGCACAAACCTGTACT